TAAACCGAACTTATTTTAAATACATTATATTAAAAATATATATATTAAAAATAAATATACTATCATGACTGCGTGAACTCTTACTTTTAGAGGCTCATACGTCACTTAATGCCGCGGCCAAGGTCGCGGCAATCGTGCGCCAGAACTGCCCATCACGTCAACAGTATGGCGTCATGACATGACGTCAGCTCGCGAAACGTGATAGCAGCGTGCTGCTATCACCGGTGAAACAGGGCCCGGATCGATAATTTTAAGACCAAAAGCTAACTAATCGCATTCTTACCACGATCTCGGTGGAGCCGCACGACGGTCTGTTGTCAACATGTCAATTGTTGTTAAATACCATTACGCAGAAATGTAGTATCTTCATAAAACCCAACACACTAGGGGAACTGTGGGAAACCGGGGTTTTGGGTGGGGGGGGGATACTATTTTTATGAAAAAGTGATAGATATACACAAATAATTTTGGAATTACGGTTCTGTATTTTTAATTTTTTATAGAAGAGCATTCGGTAATTTTCTTTTTCGGTAAAGCGCCTCACGAGATGCGCCAGATCTGTCGACGAATGATAGCGACTTCAGGGCCCTGTTTCACCGGTGATAGCAGCAAGCTACTATCAAATTGCGCGAGCTGACGTAATGTGATGACGTCATACTGCTGACGTAAGGGGCAATTCTGGCGCACGATTGCCGCAATATTGTTTTACGTCATCAACTAAATGTTCGAAGTTAACGTCCAAATTTTCCTTAAACCCAACTTATTTTAAATACATTATATTAAAAAATATATATTAAAAATAAATATACTATCATGACTGCGTAAACTCTTACTTTTAGAGGCTCATACGTCACTTAATGCCGCGGCCAAGGTCGCGGCAATCGTGCGCCGGAACTACCCATTACGACAACAGTATGGCGTCACGACATGACGTCAGCTCGCGAAACGTGATAGCAGCTTGCTGCTATCACCGGTGAAACAGGGCCCAGGGCCCTGTTTCACCGGTGATAGCAGCAAGCTACTATCAAATTGCGCGAGCTGACGTAATGTGATGACGTCATACTGCTGACGTAAGGGGCAATTCTGGCGCACGATTGCCGCAATATTGTTTTACGTCATCAGCTAAATGTTCGAAGTTAATGTCCAAATTTTTCCTAAACCCAACTTCTTTTAAATACATCATATTGAAAAAATATATATCAAAAATATATATACTATCATGACTGCGTTAACTCTTACTTTTAGGCTCATACGTCACTTAATGCCGCCGCCAAGGTCGCGGCAATACGCAACCGAAGTCGTGACGTCACGATAAGTGGCTGGGGCATAATCAGCTGACGGCCCCGTGCTAAAGCAATGGGGCAATATTTTGCCGATCTTTCCCAAGAAAACTGGACCTAGTTAGATAGTTTTAGTAGCTGAATTTAGGACAACGATGTATGATCTATTTTTCTATGAAAAAATATTGCAAAATCTAACAACGCAAAGCACAAAATTTCGTGAAAACCTAATTGGCGGCGAAGTTGACGCAGAAATACAAAATATTTTAGATCAAGAGGTTTAAAATAATGAATTTTAAATAAAAAAGATTTTCAAAATAACTTATATGGTTAATTTTCTCCTTTGCTTTTTACGAATAAAAATTATTTATCCAGCTCAAACTCAAATATGTCAAACCTTACGCATCAAAATCCTCCCGACGCGGTCACAGTTCGCATCTCAAGGTCATGTATTTGGTGCGTCAAGTTCGCCGCCCGTAACAATTTCGCGAAATTCGGTCCTTTCCGCTTTAAAACATAGCATTTTTTGGGCGTAGAAAAACAGAATATACTCAGTTTACCTAGAAACTGGCCCCCAAACTATCTAACTAGGTCCAGTTTGTTCTAAAAATGCTGATAAAATTTCGTCCCATTGCTTTAACACAGGGCCGTCAGCTGATTATGCCCCAGCCAGTAGTCATGACGTCACACTTCGGTTGCGTATTGTGCGCCGGAACTACCCATTACGACAACAGTATGGCGTCACGACATGACGTCAGCTCGCGAAACGTGATAGCAGCTTGCTGCTATCACCGGTGAAACAGGGCCCTGAGCGCTGTTCGGCAGCCGGCTATTTTGTGTGCAGGGTATGACGTATTTCGCGAGCCGACGTCACAGGCGGTGACGTCGGCTCGCGCGCGAGCCGAGCGCCAACGACAAACTAACGGGAACCCTCGGACACCCTCGGGGCATAAACCGCGGAGTAGCATATTGAGCGAGTCTTATAAGGAAATTTCATATATTTTCGTTTCTCAAATGATAATCAGGGTGTCTCTTACCTTTTTACATATTATTTAGGCTTACCTGACACTTCAGTTGCCAAATATCTGCAATTTATTCAAGCGAAGGTATTTTCAGTAAATATCAATGGTATAGACCGAAATCTTTTGAATAAAAACTCCAACCAACAGAAATAAAAATAACTTAATTTATTCCAACCATTTCCTCCAAATAAACAACATAAAAACTCACTTTTACACACATCATTCATAATAAAGCATACTAACACGCCGCTTTTGACGTCGAGTGGCGCGCTGCTAGCACTCTTTTTCGATCGCAGAGACCCTGCACGCGCGCGAGCACACTACGTCACGTCCGGGGGGCACAGGGCCAGGGCCCTGTTTCACCGGTGATAGCAGCAAGCTACTATCAAATTGCGCGAGCTGACGTAATGTGATGACGTCATACTGCTGACGTAAGGGGCAATTCTGGCGCACGATTGCCGCAATATTGTTTTACGTCATCAGCTAAATGTTCGAAGTTAATGTCAAAATTTTTCCTAAACCCAACTTCTTTTAAATACATCATATTGAAAAAATATATATATCAAAAATATATATACTATCATGACTGCGTAAACTCTTACTTTTAGGCTCATACGTCACTTAATGCCGCCGCCAAGGTCGCGGCAATCGTGCGCCGGAACTACCCATTACGACAACAGTATGGCGTCACGACATGACGTCAGCTCGCGAAACGTGATAGCAGCTTGCTGCTATCACCGGTGAAACAGGGCCCCTGTTTCACCGGTGTTTCGCGAGCTGACGTCATGTCGTGACGCCATACTGTTGTCGTAATGGGTAGTTCCGGCGCACGATTGCCGCGACCTTGGCCGCGGCATTAAGTGACGTATGAGGCTCTAAAAGTAAGAGTTTACGCAGTCATGATAGTATATTTATTTTTAATATATATATTTTTTAATATAATGTATTTAAAATAAGTTGGGTTTAAGGAAAATTTGGACGTAAACTTCGAACATTTAGTTGATGACGTAACACAATATTGCGGCAATCGTGCGCCAGAATTGCCCCTTACGTCAGCAGTATGACGTCATCACATTACGTCAGCTCGCGCAATTTGATAGTAGCTTGCTGCTATCACCGGTGAAACAGGGCCCGGGTATATGAAAAATCGCAGTGACGTAACACTTTTCTCGCTTCTCATTGGTCAATAGCCCGTTGCCGGGGTAACGTGCACGTATGTGAGCGCGGGCAAGAGTACTAGCCGGCCGCCGATCAGGGCCCTGTTTCACCGGTGATAGCAGCAAGCTACTATCAAATTGCGCGAGCTGACGTAATGTGATGACGTCATACTGCTGACGTAAGGGGCAATTCTGGCGCACGATTGCCGCAATATTGTTTTACGTCATCAACTAAATGTTCGAAGTTTACGTCCAAATTTTCTTTAAACTAAACTTATTTTAAATACATTATATTAAAAAAATATATATTAAAAATAAATATACTATCATGACTGCGTAAACTCTTACTTTTAGAGGCCCATACGTCACTTAATGCCGCGGCCAAGGTCGCGGCAATCGTGCGCCAGAACTGCCCATCACGTCAACAGTATGGTGTCATGACATGACGTCAGCTCGCGAAACGTGATAGCAGCGTGCTGCTATCACCGGTGAAACAGGGCCCAGGGCCCTGTTTCACCGGTGATAGCAGCACGCCGATTTTACGACTTGTCAAATTGGGTTTCCATGGAGACATCAACAGGCCCATTGCTCCAACACTACCACAAGTGTGACGTCAGCTCGCGCAATTTGATAGCAGCGTGGTAGCAGCAGCCCGCAGGGCTCTGAAAAAGTCTTCAGAAATGTTTCGTTCGTAAATATTTTCGTTCGTGCATTTTCTTTATTTTCGTTTTTTGGTCCGTGCATTTTTTTGTCTGTACATATTTTCATTCTTCATCCAACATTTCTTCGCCTGTACTGTACATGTTTTCGTCTGTGGCCAACTCGTGGCGAAGCAGTGCAGTGCCGAAGGCAATGCCTTAGGAGAGATTACAGGCAATAGTAAATCAAATATTTTTAGGTTAAATGGTTATGTATCTGGCTTCAGGCCGAAGGCCTGAAGCCTGATGCATGACCACTTAACCTGAAAATATTTGATTTACTATTGCCTGCAATCTATTCCTGAAAGTAACTATTTCCTTATCCGGTAGGCAAAAATCAGTAGGTTAGGTTAGGTTAGGTTAGGTTAGGTTAGGATTCCCGGTAGGCAAGAATCAGTAGATTCTTGAATTGGAAGGCCGAACTAATGCAGTGTAGTAATACCAATGCCTTTCAGTTTAGATAGTTAATTATCAATAGCGTTCTAAGGGCCTTGGTCAATGGAAACTGAAATGCTTATCATTTTGCGGCCCTAGGTATATTGATATAGAGAACTGCTACTTGCCCAATACAGGCAATACCACAGAGCATATAAATACTTCTTCTTGTTCTTGCTGGGTTAGGGCGCGTAGCTGCCAGGGCATATAAATACGATAAATACCCTAATACTTGCCCAATACTTGCCTACTCCACTCGCCCTTCCTGCTACGCGAAAGAAAATGGCTGTTCTGGTTATCCTGTTGGTGCTGCTGCCGGCATCAAAATTATGTAAATGACGTCATATATTTTGCTATGTTTTTCGTCTTTTTTACCCCAAGCAGATTCTGATTTCTCGAATATTTCAGCATACAGGCGGGCAAGAGAACAAACTGAACACAACTTATTCGACTTATTCGAGGCCGGCTTTGTTGCTGTGCGATCTGTTCCGTTGAATTATATGTCGTGCAGCTAGTTGTGATCAACCTTCTCGGACCACAATTTTTCAGCTGAAGATACCCAAGCCTTCAGAGAGCAAAGTACATCATTAAGGTAAGTTAACTATCGACTAAAACACTTATCTCTCTGCGCCTCAAATGTCACAGTTTCGTCATGGTTGGCATGTCACCCAAATTTTACAACATTTTGTCTAATATGCTTGCTGATTTGTTTCTAATCTCAATTGATCATCTGCTGAAAATGTATTGGTATTGGATGCTAGCCCAAAAGCTTGCATCAACTTCCTGGATTAGGCAACTGGTGACAGGTGCTTTTGTCATGAAGTTGAAGTCGAGGTGAAGTGGGCAGGTTGTTAAGTGCCACAAACTTCACAGCCACAGCAAATTTTACACCAAGTCTTAAGAAAATAAGTTATTAGATAAAAGTAATGACAATAAACCTAACTGTGTACCTACCCACCTAGCATTTACTAGTCACCTTCAGTGGTTCCTAAATTACTGGAAAATTGCTCAAGAAGTTTTAATGCTGGAAAATTGTTTATCAGATCCACTAAGGGCTCTTGCTCTGGGCCAAGAAGAGCTCTCTGAGCTCTGATGCAAGCCAATGGTTCTTTGAGGAGAACAATGGGTTCTTAGAGGACAGCAGACTAGGGTCATCTTAGGATAGCAGAGCCTTGAGGATCCTTGGCTGGCCTCAGGGCACAGAGGGCCCTCTGTAAGCCTGCCTGAAGTCCCTTTGAAGGACTCATTTTGTTTGTTTATTAAGGTTAAGAACTTTGAAGGACTGAACTTAGAAATACTTAAGAACTTAGATGGTTCTCTATTAGCCTTAAAAGGCCATCCATTAGTCTCAGGGCTCTTCATTTGGCCTGATGGCCCTGATGGCCCTCTGTTCATCTCACAACAGGTTCCCCTAATTTCCTCATAGGACCCATCAATGTTGACAAGTACCCCCTCAGATGTCCGTTCCAAGACAACAGAGGGCCCTCTGAGGCCAACCAGGGGCCTAAGACCAACAAAGGCCCTTCTGAGGCCAAAAGTGGCCCTTCAAAGTGAGCAGAGGGCCCTCAGAGCCCTGAGGTCAATATACAGCCCTGGTCTCTGAGGTCAACAGAACTGATTGAGCCAATGAACCAATTGAGGGTCCTTGTCCTTCTCAGACTTATGAAAGTCTTCTGCGAGCTGATATCCTCAAAGGGCTCTGAGGGGCCAACAGAGACAGACCTGTGGAATTCGTCGGAGTCGACAGTTTTGCCTGTAGTCGGTGTCGAAGTCGGTCGGAGTCGACAGTTCTGGCCGAAGTCGAATTCGGATTCAGACGTTGAAATCGACATTCCATTAGGTACTCAAAGTCTGCACTCGATGCCTTTTTACTGGAACATTTGTTGACCTTAACAAGACATTTTGTTGCGGCTAAAGCGATGCTTTTGTTTTAGACCAGGGGTCGGCAACTTACGGCCCGCAGGTCGGATCCGGCCCGCGACGATCTGACGTCCGGCCCGCGGCTGGTATCAGCAGCTGCCAGCTAACATTGCGTTCCGGCCCGCAGATCCTTCAGAAATCGATTTTATCATACAAAAGGTAGGTACTAGATAGTGCGTTGGCACAATGCAACGCAATGGCGTGCTTCCTACGCCATCTCATGTCTATAGGTGCCCAGCCAGCAATTTGGTTTGGTTCAATTCTGTTTTGCCCCGGCAACTCCGAGATGCCGGACTTGAGCTGGTGTAAACGGAACGCCTTCGGAACAGGGGTTTGGGTCGCTATGGCTCTATTCCGGCTAGCCATCTTTCCCGTAGTGCTCCAAAGTTGGTGTGGTTTCGCTACGGCTATAGTGCGGCACCGTTCCGGCGTGCTACGGCTATGTCCGGCAGTGCCTCGTATCTGCTCTAGCGTACTGTGGCTGAAGCACGGTTGAGGTACGTACGGCGAGGACTGGTTCGGCATAAGTCCGGTCACAGTGATGGTGTGCTCCGGGACCTTGTGTCAGCTGTAGTAGAGCCCCCACCCCCAGCCTTAGCTAGCAATTTGTTTTGGCTCAAGTCTGTTTTGCCCCGGCAACTCAGACATGCCAGATTTGGGCCGATGTAAACGGAACGCCATCGGAACAGAGGTTTGGGTCGATATGGCCATCTATTCCGGCTAGCCAGCTTTTGCCGTAGCGCTGCGCTCCAAAGTTGGTATGTTTTCGGACCGCCAAATTCGGCTCAAGTCCGGCTGTCTGCCAAGGCGTGCTATCAGCTATGGCTAGGTTCGGCTGTCTCGTAGCTGTTCTGACTATCTGTGGCTGAAGTACGGTTGAGGTAAGGCACGACTGCTACGGCTTACGTCCGACTGTGGTACGAGCGAGCTCCGGGATCGCGTGTCGGCTCCAGTAGAACCCCAGACCCTGCCCGTACCTCGGCCGGAGTAAGATGCCGCAGCTAGCCAGAGTAAACCCAAATACGGCCCAGACTTATTTTGTTGGCTGAGTCTTTTGCCAGTACTTCGGCTGGGGTAAAAATGCTGGAGCTAGCCAGAGTAAAGGCAGATAGGTATATACGGACCAATTTTGCGGGTTGGGAGGTATCTGATCAGATAATAAAATGGACAAGACCATTCCTTATTTTTTCAAGCGCGCCTTTTCTTCAGCCAGAATCTGTGTGAAAAAGGTAGGTAAGTTTTATCGCCTTGGTTTCATCCTATGACACAAGGCAAAACATGTGAGCTGTCACAACTAAACATTCATTTGTAACGCTACGCTGTCGTATTTTTCAAAATTTGCGTGTCATTGAAGCACATTGGAACTGAATTTTTAAAAGCTGAATGTCACGTGTTTTAACCCATTTTCGATTGTTTTAATTCAGAAATCAACAGTTTTAAGTTGGGCTTCATTTACTATTTAACTTCATTAACTTCATTAACTAACTTCATTAACTTAACTAGGTTCGAAAATGGAGAATCGAGTTTAGATGAGTGTGCACCTAATTTATACAGCAACTTTGCAATGCAAGAGCTTAGAATGCATAGGGCATTTTTTCAGGCAAGATGAAACCAACCAATCTCCGACGTGAATGCTGTCACCGAGACGTGAGTAAGTGATGACCGTAATCGGGGCTGGGGTCGATGTTGGAGTCGGTTTTTCGAACCCGGGTCCCGGAGTCGGAGCCGCCGAAAATCCATCGACGCCACGTCTCTGAAGAGAGCCGTCTAGGAGCAACAAATGGTTATTTGGGTTGGGGTCAACCGAGGGCCGTCTGAGGACACCAGAAGACCTTCTTAGCTGCTTCTGGGGACAAGTAAGGCTCGTTTTAGGTCAACGGAGGCAGATCTAGGACTTTCAATAAAGGGCCCTTTTAGGCCACCAGATGGATCTCAAAACAATAAGATGTATCCGAGACTGACATGGACCCATAGCTTGGGAACCCATCGATTTCAACAACTTCTAAAGGCTGGAATAAAACCAGCTAAGGGGAACTGAAGCTGGGTAGCGGCAGCCGTGGCTCCGGTCTGCCAGAGAGGTGCCGTCAATCAGCTGAGACTGCGGCGGACAGACATCCGACACTGGCGGACGGAGAGCGTTATCCGACACCGGCACACGGAGAGCGTTATCCGACACTGGCACACGGAGAGCGTTATCCGACACCGGTACACGGAGAGCGTTATCCGACACCGGCACACGGAGAGCGTTATCCGACACCGGCACACGGAGAGCGTTATCCGACACCGGCACACGGAGAGCGTTATCCGACACCGGCACACGGAGAGCGTTATCCGACACCGGCACACGGAGAGCGTTATCCGACACCGGCACACGGAGAGCGTTATCCGACACTGGCGCACGGAGAGCGTTATCCGACACCGGCACACGGAGAGCGTTATCCGACACTGGCGCACGGACAGCGTTATCCGACACCGGCACACGGAGAGCGTTATCCGACACCGGCACACGGACAGCGTTATCCGACACTGGCACACGGACAGCGTTATCCGACACTGGCACACGGAGAGCGTTATCCGACACTGGCGCACGGAGAGCGTTATCCGACACCGGCACACGGAGGGCGTTATCCGACACCGGCGGACGCCGACACCGAGCGGACTACATACAACAGGGGGGACTAATGACGTTTCCCTCCTTTCGTAGAGCTGTGATGGCAGCGCTGGTGGCGGATTACGGGTCCAGCAGCAGTTCTGAGTCGGAGCCAGAGCAGCCAGATATATCAGAAGATACCAGTGCAAAACCGAAGTAAGTGTTAGAAATTTTCAGTTTCCTGTGAAACGATTATAAAATTGTTTTAGTGGGGCGCAATGATTACTTTACGCTTTGAACCATGCATAGGTACCCATAAATTTGGCTACATCACTTATCGACGGAAGTTGATGGTGGTCTGAATCTGATGGTCACACATCCAGGCGCGGAGAACACTTCTAACGCCACCCCTCTTGAACTCTGCACCCGGACCACGTAACGAAAAGCGCTTAACAGCGTTGGAAAATCATAGAAAATCATGAAAGGTTCTGCTTACTTTTGGATCAGATTATCAAAGATCACCGGAGGTCAAACTTCCCCATTATGACGTTGCGGAAAAAACACTTCATATCTCTTGAGCCTTGATTGGTTCAGTTGGTAAAACATTGGACTCCCGGTAGTGGGTGAGAGCCCGGGCTCGAGTCGCTCCGGCGCTCGCTATGCGAGGCTCCTGACGGAGGTGGTCGCGGTTGGTGTAAACAGTCCAACCAGCAGAAGTCAATTGAGTGGGAAAGTCAGTTGGTCTGTGTTGGGCTTTGAAGGGCATCCAACTTCGCCTGACACAACGCGAAATTGCGCTGTCGAGCGGTAGGGGTAAGGGCCCGCGCAACAAGCTCTGCTTAGCGTGGGCTCCTGCTCTTTCAACCCGTCTATTCAAGCATTCGAGCTAAATTTATTGAAATTTATTGAAATTTATTGAAATTTATTGAAAAGAAAAACGTCGCAGTGTCGAAAAAAACTATTGTTCTTAAAGATATTTTGCTAACACGTTAGTTGACCTCATGCTTACGGTTTAGTCTACCTGGCTGGGCTGATGCTTTGGACGTGAGGTGACCATGAGGTCACTGAAGCAACTTTTACATAGGCCGCCTCATAACGAAGGACGATTAAATTCAGCCATTGGCCTTGACATTCTTGATTTTAATGTATTATCACTTCAATTTCTGTGTTGACTTTTCAGGATGAGATTATGTCCTCCGATGCTCGGTTATTGGTTATTTATAAAGGAAACAATAGCTTTGATGGCATGGAGATTACGGATTACACTAGCTTTCGTACCTACCTAATAAAAAGGTTTGCAAAGAAATCGTTCTGTCAAGTATCTTTTTTTTCCGCAGAAGGATTGTGTTATTTCAATGCATAATTTGTTTCTTATTCATTTGAAACGTTTATCAACAAAAATGGCTGCCCCGTATGGCCTGAATGGGCCCCGGAATGGCACTCGTCGGATCAGTGTCGTCGTCCGCCAGTGTCGAATAACGCTCTCCGTGTACCGGTGTCGGATAACGCTCTCCGTGTGCCGGTGTCGGATAACGCTGTCCGTGTGCCAGTGTCGGATAACGCTCTCCGTGTGCCGGTGTCGGATAACGCTGTCCGTGTACCGGTGTCGGATAACGCTGTCCGTGTGCCGGTGTCGGATGTCTATCCGCCGCAGTCTCAGCTGATTGACGGCGTCTCTCTGACAGACCGGAGCCGGCCGCCGAGCGGCTGCCACTGCCCAGCTTCAGTTCGCAGCTGTCGGGCGCGTCCGTGTTCTCCAACCCGTACCGGCAGGAGGAGGACGCTCGGCGCGCCGTGCTCGAGAAACACGTCAAACTGACCACGGCGCCCACCGAGCTGCGCCACATCAACGGCAAACAGGTGTGCTGGAACTACCGCAAGGGACGCTGCCGCTTCGGGCGCGGCTGTAAGTTCGCGCACGACTCGGACCTGCAGCGCGACGGCGCAGAGGAGGAGTCGAGCGACGCGCCGCCGCCGGCCGCCGAGCCGGCCGCGCCGCCGCCGCCGGCCGTTGACGGCCAGCAGGCGCGCAGGAAGCGGCCGGGGCTCGGTGACACGCTCGCCCCCGGGAAGAAGGTGATGAAAATGTACACTAACACGCGGAAAGGACCGCTGGTGTGAGCGGACGGAACTGGCCGTGAGTGCGGCGACTGCGCGGGCGTCCGGCCGTGACGTGTTCATACATTGATATGCCAAGTGTGTTCTGTTTTGTTTTGCTTTTCCGCAGAGTCGATAATTGTGTGGATTATGTTTGTAGGGTTTGAACTCCATCGAATTGCCCGATAAAATGTTCATTTTCGCTTGACAGATGGCATAAAGTCGTTTTGCCATTGTCAACTCGTGTTCTTCTATTGCCTGTAACGTAGCTAGCTGGCTGTGGCAATAGTGTGGAGACAAGCTTGGTCAAAGTTAATGTTTTGTGACACGGCGACATTCTCGTCAAGATGCCGATGATCGTTTTCATTGTCTCATCACCGCAGTAATTTCGGTCCCGCCTATAGCCAACTTGGCAATTTCGCTTATCGCAGCGCCCACAAATGACGTTGCTGCTCGTATTGAATAGACCTCCATTCATCCCATTTTTCATTATTGTTAATTGTAATATTTATCGTGCTAACGACGTGTGTGAAAACGGTGTGTCATCTGCTATTGCTGATGCGCAATAAAAGCACCAAGTTCCCGAGTTGTGTCATCTAGTTGTGACTTGTGAGCGTCATGGCTCGGGATCAGCCGAATTTTGTTCAGCCTCCACTGCTTGTTGCCGCCACTCCATCGATGGACACCCGGCCTCTGAAAACTGCTGGAGGGCGATCGACACCCGGCCTCTGAAGCTGAAGCCCAGCGGTGCAGCTGTGGCATACGACGGCCCCTGAGGCTCACTCCGCACCCAGCCGATGAAGGTCGTGCGGGACAGCCGACCTGGGTAGGGCGCAGCTTTTTAATTTGCCAACGTGACACCGACTGAGGCACGAGGCTCCTTTCTCCTACGACCTCCTTTATGAATGAGATCCCGCCGCAGGAGCACCAAGCAAAACAAACTAAGATGGCCACAAAAGGATTATTTGACAACGCAATGTCCACTGAAACAGAGTCCTTACAATCGGCCATATCTGAGAAAGTATCACAAACTCTTCATAATGGCCAATCCCGTCTACCACCACCATGCTTCTTGTGTGTAATGAATGCCCCTGAGCACCGGTGACGCTCATACGATGTCGATGGGACGATTCGGGGCGGGAGATTTCGCTCCTGATGATGCTCGTAAGACCTCTACTTGAGACCTTGCTTATTCGGGAATTTGAGAGGGGCGCGGTGCCCCCCCCCCCCTTCCCCGTTCGGCCGCCTAGCTGACGCTCGCTGTGTGATATGGGCGCTGGGCCGGTGCTGTGACTCCCGAAGTCCCCGTGTGTGTGTACGCCCGTGGCGCGGTGTCTGACCTTGGACCGGCGCCGCGCCCCTGGGCCTCTCCGCGCGCCGGCAGTGCTCGCTCAGCGGCCGCCGTCCGTCCGTCCGACCGTCCGTCGTGCCCGTTGAGGTACGATGCTGCGCTCCCTGGCACGTCTGGTGCGCGCCGCCCCGCCGCTGCCGGCGGAGACCGTGCTGCGGAGGACGCCGACAGTCGCCCGGCTGGCCCGTCCCTTCGGCAGCCTACCAGGTAGGGTTCTCACCGCTGGCACCCAGCAGCCCGCCCCCATTCCAGAGTGTTTGCGATACGGAGACAGCATGCCAGTACCTTACCGTGCGGTGGCGATATCAACACCGACTCCGATTCAAACACCGCGTGAATGCTGGAAAAAAAAACGCACTTGCCTGAAAGTATTTATAGATTGAACTTCCCATGCAGTAGGCAATACGAACACTGTCATCGCTGTATGGTAAATTGCTTCCCATTTCTGGCTGCCATGAAACTGTGCTTTCATACCTAATTCCAGTTGGACGCAAGAGCCAAGCTGCTACGCGCCCCAACCCGAAACAACACACCTTATTCCAATCGGCCAATGTCCGCCATTGGCGCCTTTACGGGTTTATCTGATTGAGAAACCGACCAGACGCTGATCGAACTTTGCCCCGACTCCCTGACTTGTGGCCTTATTGGATTGTTATCGCCCCTCGTAACGCAGCTGTTCTCAGGTGTCTCGCAAGTGCCAACAGGAGGTCATTCGATAAGTTTATCATTTTGGCCAACAGCCAGAGCTCATAGACTTGAGTATATAAAACAAACTATATAGCGCTTATATGTCTCGTTAACCACATTTAGAAAATTATTCATTTGGAGTGGTAATGCGTGTTGCCAAGCTGCTGTCAATCGCCCGCAGACGTCCACACGTTACAGTGTTTGGCCATCAGTCCGCCCCTGCAGTGACTTGGCGTGTGCCTGTGCGCGCAGGGCTGCGGCCGATCGCCATCAATGACCTGGGCGCCGACTGCCCGTACTCGGCCGAGGAGCAGGCCGTGCGCTGCAAGCTGGCCTCGCTCTACCGACTGGTGGACGCCCGCGGCTGGAGCATGGGCATCTACAACCACATCACGGTACGGATATATAACCAGATCACGGTACATCTACAACCACATCACGGTACGGGTATAACCACATCACGGTACATCTACAACCACATCACGATACGGGTATAACCACATCACGGTACATTTACAACCACATCACGGTACGGGTATAACCACATCATGGTGCATCTACAACCACATCACGGTACGGGTATAACCAAATCACCGTATGTACATCTACAACCACATCACGGTACATCTACAGTAACATCACGGTACATCTACAGCCACATCGCGGTACATCTACAGTAACATCACGGTACATCTACAACTACGTCCCGGTACGGCGGGCTGCCCGGCGCGAGGACACGCTCGCCCTTTGGCCGCGTTGAGTCCGTGTTGTGTGTGTTGAGGCGGGCGGCGCCGCTGACCCTTACCGCGGCCATGTGACAGGCACGGATCACCGCCAGCGACGAGCACTTCCTGGTGAACCCCTTCGGCCTGCTCTACGACGAGGTGACGGCCAGCAACCTGGTGCGTGTCGACCTGGCCGGCGCCGTGCTCGACCCCGGTTCCAGCGCGGCCGGGGTCAACCTGGCCGGCTACGTGCTCCACTCGGCCATCCACGAGACGCGGCCGGACGTCATGTGCGCGCTGCACGTCCACCTGCCCGACGCCATCGCCGTGAGTGGGGCCAGTGGAGGGTCTGTGGAGGGTCAGTAGCGCCAGTGGAGGGTCTGTAGAGCCAGTGGAGGGTCTGTAGAGCCAGTGGAGGGTCTGTAGAGCCAGTTTAGGGCGAGTGGCTCCAGCTGCCGCCGTTAGCAACAGCCGGCGTTCAGTGTCCATTACCTGTACTGGTTTTACCGGGTGACTGTGCGCCGACAGGTGTCCACCATGCAGTGTCCATCGTCCATTAGTAGTTTTACCCGGTGACTGTGCGCCGACAGGTGTCCACCATGCAGTGTCCATCGTCCATTAGTAGTTTTACCGGGTGTCTGTGCGCCGACAGGTGTCCACCATGCAGTGTCCATCGCCCATTAGTAGTTTTACCTGGTAACTGTGCGCCGACAGGTGTCCACCATGCAGTGTCCATCGCCCATTAGTAGTTTTACCGGGTAACTGTGCGCCGACAGGTGTCCACCATGCAGTGTCCATCGCCCATTAGTAGTTTTACCTGGTAACTGTGCGCCGACAGGTGGGGCGTTCCACGACAAATCGACAAGTGCCCTGCACCCTCATATTTTATTTTTTGCTTAAAATTGGTCTAATGGGTTGTGATGGGCGGGGAAGCCAGCTGTGGCAAGGATTTTTTCTTCGAACAACGGTTTCCGAGATATAGCCTCGGGCAATTCTTGGAGTTCGCGCTGCAGCCCTGTGTTTGGCGGCCTATAACTCAGAAACTATTGTTTTTTTACGATAAAAACTTCATATGTTTCAACTCACAATCAACCAACAAACATTTTGGCTATCTCGGATTTTCAATTTTTGAAAATTTTGATCACGTGACCTTTTGTCCTATTTTTCGAAGAGTGACCTTGATATTTTCCCCACTGAAAGTTGCAATTTTGTCTGATGACGATTAAAGCCTTATCAATTGTCATTCATATGCGATAATAAAATAAGTGGTTATCGCCCTGCGTTGACCTCTGGCCAGGTCATTTTTATGACCTGTCCATTATTACGAGCGGGAGCGACAGCGAGATCTCGAGAATAAAGCAAGATAGCGACAAGCGGTAAACGGTAAAGGGTATACACGGATAAGGTCTATAACTTTTATTAAGGTCATTTTCAGGTCAGGTCAAAGATGACGTCACAGGAGCTAAAAGGAAGTCAAAATAGCGGCACTATACATATGTTACAGGGAGTTTGAGAAATCCGTGAGTTTGCAAACTCCCTAGTGAGTTTGCAAACTCCCTGGCCCATCAGTGAGTTTGCAAACTCACTAGGGAGTTTACAAATTCACTAGGGAGTTTGCAAACTCACTGACCGGTCAGGGAGTTTAAGAAATTTCGGAGTGATTGGGCCAAATTAAAACAAGTGTGCAGCATGTGGGTGGTATACGTGCTGTCCGTGATGTTAAAACAAAGGAGGCTAGCTCTAAGGCCTCGCACGCTGACAAAAAGCTTATAGATCATATGCACACCATAAATACCTTTTTTTATTTTAAACTGCTCAGTGATTTACCCATGCATGTACCGCCGCTTTATTTAGTTATACAATTATTTAGTTCACGTCCCAATTAGACCCGTTCCACTCAAGTGTGGCTATTCCAGAGTCAGGCTAAATATATCAAAGTAGAAACAGCTCACTATTGGTCACTTATGCTAAAGTACATGCACACGCATCAATTCACGCCCATTCCCACTCCGCCATAGACGTGTCATCGAGAGCCGGCGCTGCTGGCAGCCAGCCCAGCTGCGACTGTCGCACGCTGCTTGTTTGTTTTTGTTTTGTTGGGTTAGGCCCTTTCGGTCTGACAGGACCATTTCAGAGTCGGACGAATGATAGGAATTATAGGGGGAGACATTGGTCTGGGCAGACACCCTATATGCAGAGTCGCCGGGGCTGAGCCCGTCCGAATGGACAGACCGTCCAGCCCCCCAAGCACTCTCTGCACCCGGCTACGGGGTGCGCTCCCTCGGGAGCAGCCCGCATGAGATAAAGGTGCCTGTCCAGCCCGGAGGGTGTTTCGGCGTGGACGAGAAGGATTTCAGTATCCTGATTTCTGAGGAGGGAAACGACGCAACGGAGGAGCACGTTGCTCCGAACCTCCACTTTACATAGCCGCGAGTAGCATTTTTTTTTCGGTAAAATAATGAAGGATCTGTAAGCTTTTTGTCAGCGTGCGACGTTTATACACGCTCGCAAAAAGCTTACAGATCCTTCATTGTTTTACCGAAAAAAATGCTACTCGCGGCTATGTAAAGGGGAGGTTCGGAGCAACGTGCTCCTGTGTTAGGCCGTACCACTAGTCGCTTTTGTTTTAACATCACGGACGGCACGTATGCCACCCTCATCTTACACATTTGATTTTATTTGGCCCAATCGCTCTGGAATTTCTCAAACTCCCTGACCGGTCAGTAAGTTTGCAAACTCCCTAGTGAATTTGCAAACTCCCTAGTGAGTTTGCAAAGTCACTGATGGGTCAGGGAGTATGCAAACTCACTAGGGAGTTTGCAAACTCACGGATTTCTCAAACTCCCTGTAACACATATATATGAAGTTTTTTTCGAATAACTTTCAAGGTATCCCAGCTAGGAACAAACTAATAGCACCATCGTGATCCTCTCGTCGATCCGCATCGAAACATATGTATGTTGACCTCGAAAGGTCGAAAGGTCAAAAGTTGACCTTAGGTCACGTGATCTAATGTCAACTTTTGACCTTTCGACCTTTCGAGGTCAACATACATATGTTTCGATGCGGATCGACGAGAGGATCACGATGGTGCTATTAGTTTGTTCCTAGCTGGGATACCTTGGAAAGTTATTCGAGAAAAAACTTCATATATATGTTTAGTGCCGCTATTTTGACTTCCTTTTAGCTCCTGTGACGTCAGCTTTGACCTGACCTGAAAATGGCCTTAGTAAAAGTTATAGACCTTATCCGTGTGTACCCTTAACCGTTTACCGCTTGTCGCTATCTTGCTTTATTCTCGAGATCTCGCTGTCGGTCCCGCTCATAATAATGGACAGGTCATAAAAATGACCTGACCTGAGGTCAACGCAGGGCGATAACCACTTTTTTATTATCGCATATGAATGACAACCGATAAGGCTTTAATCGTTATCAAACAAAATTGCAACTTTCAGTGGGGAAAATACCAAGGTCACTCTTCGAAAAATAGGACAAAAGGTCATGTGATCAAAATTTTCAAAAATTGAAAATCCGAGATAGCCAAAATGTTTGTTGGTTGATTGTGAGTTAAACCATATAAAGTTTTTATCGTAAAAAAGACAATAGTTTCTGAGTTATAGGCCGCCAAACCTAGGGCTGCAGCGCGAACTCCAGGAATTGCCCGAGGCTATATCTCGGAAACTGTTGTTCGAAGAAAAAAATCCTTGCCACAGCTGGCTTCCCCGCCCATCACAACCCCTTACACCAGTTTTCAACGAAGAATAAAATATGAGGGTGCAAATTTAATTTTTTATTTGTCGATTTGTCGTGGAACGCCCCAGGTGTCCACCATGCAGTGTCCATCGCCCATTAGTAGTTTTTTACCGGGTAACTGTGCGCCGACAGGTGTCCACCATGCAGTGTCCATCGCCCATTAGTAGTTTTACCAGGTGACTGTGCGCCGACAGGTGTCCACCATGCAGTGTCCATCGCCCATTAGTAGTTTTACCGGGTGACTGTGCGCCGACAGGTGTCCACCATGCAGTGTCCATCGCCCATTAGTAGTTTTACCGGGTGACTGTGCGCCGACAGGTGTCCACCATGCAGTGACCGTCGCCCATTAGTAGTTTTACCGGGTGACTGTGCGCCGACAGGTGTCCACCATGCAGTGTGGCCTGCTGCCCATCACACAGGAGGCTTTGGTCGTGCACGGTTTCGCCGGAGTCAGCTACCACGACTACCAGGGCATCCTCATCAACAGTGCAGAAAAGAAGGATATTCAGGAAAACCTCGGACCCAAGAATAAGGTAATCGTGGTGACGTGTGCGCTAAATCCGAGCCCGGCGCCTGTCCACTAATAGCCCTAAACAGGCATATAACTCCAATTACTGGCCAGGGGCCGTATTCACGTCGATCATTCTCGTAAGAATTTTCTTACGCATGACCTACTTCTTACGCAATTTTTTAAATCGCGTGAACTCCGTAGATAAAAACTTACGAAGTGTCGACGTGAATACCAAATTATACTTACAAAAGAAAATCGACTTACGAAGTCGACGTGAATACGGCCCCTGCGCAGTGCGCATGCCACCATGCCAACCGGTCCCTAATGATGTAGGTACCGAATTTTAGCGCAGTCGGCGAAGCCCACCCTCGAGATGTGGGAGTGGCATCGTGCACGTGCGCACGTGCAAGTTGGTTCGAAAATTACTTATGCCCGGCACCCTACCGAGCGGACTTTAAGAAAGTAACAAATGTGAGCAGAATCTGTTAGCAGTTCTCGGATGTTGAAGCGACCCCTGCACGCTGGCACGCGCAATAGCACACCAGTCACCAAACATGTGGTACAGAAAGGCATTGTCCAATGAGTGCCTGCTGACACGCCAACTTTCATACAGGCTTTGTTTAGGGTTACTTCAACTAGCATCGAAATCAACTAAAACCCGGCACCCTTCTAACCGGTCTCCAGCGATGTGCCAAATTTGAGCCCAATCGGCCCAGCCGTTCTCGAGATCTGGAAACGGCACCATGCACGTGTGCACGTGCAAACTGGGTCCCAACTGACTTTTGCATGGCACCCTTCTAACGGGTTCTTAAACGTGTAACAAATTTGAGCGCAATCGGTTCAGCCGTTCTTGAGATCTGGAAACGATCCCTGCACGTGCGCACGTGCAGCAGCATCCCAACCGTGACACATGGTAATGCATTGCCTGGTGGGTACCTACCTACATGCTAAGTTTCAACGCAAACGGCCCAGTAATTATCGAGATATTGCAATTTTTGGAAACCTGTCACCCTTTCGTTTTGCACATGGCACCTGCATGAGGGGTTACCCACATGCATCGGTAATAGTTTAATACTTTGTAGAAGGAATGAAGCTACCCTATAAAAATAACCGCAAGTAAATCGTTCCAGTGGTTGCAGAGATATAAGCTTCGCAAAAGGGTACCCTTGGCCGACCTGCCGCTCATGCTCAGATTTACTCATGCTCAGGGTGTCCGGAAAAAAGTTTACCCAAAGAATCGTTAATAAGATTTGCAATTTTTGTTAAAGGGACCCTCCCACCTTCAAAAAAGTTAATGAATTGGCATGAAAGTGATGTCCCTTGGTTCAGAAAGAGCGAAAACGAATATCTACCAAATTTCACCGAAAAATATTCACTGGTTTTCAAGATATTAGGCTTTTACTTTTGTTTACTTTTTGGGATCTCCCCTGTTACTAGCGACTTTATTTGGAAGCAATAATTTGGCAGCCTTTAAGTGCGGCAGACGTTGCGCGCAAAGCAGCGTATACCACCACGTGTTAACGATGGTTTTAGTCTAAGATTTAAAAATCGTTAGATCTCCGCTGACGTCACAAATTCTAAGGGGGCATTCCAATGCATTAGCCCCTTAGAATCCGAAAACTGCAAGTTTGAAATTCCATATCTTCGAATTAAAGCATTTTTCGATGTTGTGAGTGCCCAAACCGGTATTTGCAGGCCATGGCCACCAATTTGGCTATCTCAACTCAAAACTAATGTTAAGGTGGGAGTGTCCCTTTAAACTCATCTGAAATTCATACGATGCTTTAACAATTCAATGAGAAGTAAGTGGGCAAACTGTTCCACGCGAATCGGTTTTGCTTAGCAGGAGTGGTGGGGTGTCAAAAAACCATACGATTTTAGCGGCCACTTTTTAGCACCGCCGTGGCTAGCGCCTATAATTGACCCATATGACGACTCGTAGGCTGCATAAAAAGCATATGGAAACAAAATGAGTGTCCATAAATGCTACAATGTTCATTAGAGATCGAATTCTCAGTTGGGCTTGTATTGTCACTAGCAAATTAGCAATGCCCATTACGAATGAACGAAAACTGTATGGAAACCTATGACCAAAGCCCAAAAGCAAAACGCCCCAATATTGCATCGACGACCGCATGACCGTTTGTGGACAGCATTTCAAGTACCCCGGTGCTGAAGAACAGTGAAGCTCTGCTGCTAATCACTACTCGTATTCGTGCATCGTTTTTTCTTCTTTTTTCTTTTGCTGTTGCACTGAAGCAAAAGGTGCACATTGGCGGCGGAACGGGGAGGGCACCGGGAACATTAGCCCTATAGGCGTTGCATGGAAAGAATGGGACCAAAATTCGGCATTGCCCCCCCCCCCCTTAATTGAAGGTGTTCCGCCGCTACTGAAGCTGCAGGTTTATCCTTGGGTTTATCTACGGAAAACTGTTAGTTGTATTCCATGAATTCTTCTTCCAATAAATTCTTCTTGCATCGGAGTTTTAAGCGGTCATTTCTTTGAAGTGCACCTATCCCGACATAAATGATCCAAATGCGCTCTAATTTACGTTATTTACTTCTCATGGTCTTATGATAACACTGTGTGAAAATGATATGGATTGATCCTGCAGTAAAAGTTTGTATGGAAATTTACGCGCGGAAGCGTTTTTGGGATGCGCCCTGGCGCAAAAATCATACGTTGTTTTTTTACGTGCCACCATCCCTGCTAAACACAACCGATTCGCATGAAACTTTACCCACTCATTTCTCATTGTATTGTTAAAGTATCATAAATTTCAGACGAGCTGAATAAAAATGGCAAATTTTATGAAAGATTCTTTGAGTAAACTTTTTTCCAGCCATCCTGTACTCCGCTCGTTCCGATATGACATCGCTTCATCATACGCTGATCCTGATTCCGGCTATCGTGTGTTTATGCAGTCTGTGCCTCCCTCCAGCTGCTGATCCCGTACCCGGTGCTAGCTTGCCTCAGCTGCTAATGGCGTTCCCACCTTCGGTTCGGGTGCTGATCGCGTTCCGTCCCTCCCTGTGCTGATCGCGTTCCGTCCGTCCGTGCAGGTGCTGATCCCGTCCGTCCCTCCGTGCAGGTGCTGACCCCGTCCCAATGGCTGATTCCGTTCCGTCCGTCCGTGCAGGTGCTGGTGCTGCGGAACCACGGCGTGGTCGTCTGCGGCGAGACCGTCGAGGAGGCCTACCTGCTGCTCGACTTTTTCATGATCGCCTGCCAGTCGCAGGTGGCTATGATGGCCGCCGGCGTGGACGGCCTCGCCCAGATCTCCAGCGTCGCCTTCGAGAATATGCTCAAGGTGGGGGCGCTACCGGCCGAGCGGTGAACCTCGGGTCAGACAGACAGACAAACAACGCAGACAAACAGCTCAGACCACTGCCACAGGGGACAGACAAACAGCTCAGACCAGACCGACAGGGACAGGCTAACAGCTCAGACAAACAGCTCAGACCAGACCGACAGGGACAGACAAACAGCTCAGACCAGACCGACAGGCACAGACAAACAGCTCAGACCAGACCCTTAGGGACAGACCAGCGCCTCAGACCAAGCCACGTCATTTTTCTCAACTATTTCTTTATTTATATATGTATTATTGCACGTAACTTGGATTTTGGGGCTATTGTAGTGCATTTTTTGCGACTTACATGATGTACATGTTGTACAATAATGTTCCACTCCTCAGAAGCTATGAGTTGACTGGAACGCTGAATTGTGCCGTTTATCACGTAATTAAGCTTGTCGATGGTGAGGTCTGGGTTACAGCGTTAAACTGTCACGTCGGTCCGTGTGATGCGGCACAGTCTACCACTCCAGGCAATTGATTGCCCGTGAAAAGTGGAACATCATTCTGTAGTTGACTGTACTTGCGTTGTTTTCAGATGAAAGAAGAAGCCAAGGGCGTGGATACGAAGACCATTTCGGAGGGTAAGGCGCTGCAGTTCGGTCAGCAGGACTTTGAGGCGTGTATGAGGAAGCTGGACCGCGCTGGGCTCAGCACTGGGTACCCGTACCGGCGCCCCGAGCTGCTGGACCGCCAGTGAGAGCTGCTGGACCGCCAGTGAGAGCTGCTGGCCGCCAGTGAGAGCTGCTGGACCGCCAGTGGGAGCTGCCGGGCCGCCAGTGGGAGCTGAGTACCTGTACCGCTCGGAGTCCAGTGGGGTCTCAGTACATGTACCGGTATCTGTAGTGTACTGCTCGGTCTCCAGTGGGGTCTCAGTACCTGCACCGGTATCGGTACCGTAAGTCAGCAGTGGGGGCCGCCGCACAGTAGCGCCGACACACGATCAAACTCAGAACGCAAAATAACATAAACAGATGATGTAAGTAAAATATTACCAGCAAACAAGATCGGAGGCCAAAGAAATTTTACAACTCTGAGCGGCAGAATCGAAATCAATTATGCCACGATGTCGATCACGTGTTGTTGACTACCTGACGTTTGTTTGCTGAGCACAACCCGCTCAACGATTGCCCGTGGTCGTCGGCGTGTTAGGGCACTGAGCAGCGCTTGGCCCGGCTGGTGGTCTGGGCGATCCCGTGAGATACACCGCTGTGTGGCACCAGTTTTAGGTGTGTAACGTGCTGGCTAGGCTGTCGTTTGTAAGACATGTTACATGGTATTGGATATTTAATCGCTGAAATGCTTGACTCGTGTATGAACAATGAACATAGGTACAGGGTATTGTCTTGGATGAATAAACCGACGACGAATGTGTCAAATGGGCGGCCTATTGTTGAGAGCTGGTGAGCCAGTCCGGTGTCGATATCTGCGTTACGGTGGAATGGTGATGTGTATATGCCGAAAACCCGTCCTTACTAAGGATAGGTTTTAACGTTAATAGGGACCAAATGACGCTTAATTTTGCAGCATGAAACTGAATCACACGACGTGGCCCTGAGCGAATAGTGTGCTTTGTACCGACCAAGTCAGACACTACCAGACCCAGTTCACTCCAGACCTACTTGTCAGTTGTCCCGAGAGAACGGTCTCCGACAGTCTAGAAGCGTTCTCCGCCGGTCTTCGCGAAAGTTTTTAACGCTGGCGTGTTATCAGGAAACATGATGCTGTGTTTCCACAATCCGTTAGCCGGCTTTTTAGCGTTGCCAAACTGCCAAACAAACTTGATAAGCTGGGCCGAGCACATTAGTCATTGATCTGAGGGCCACCCAAGTGAAGTGTCTATATTCGATTGCGAAAATTACCCCGTTTGACGGCTGATGTTATTGACAGCCCGTCCTGGTCCCGTGCTCGTGTTGTGTCTCATTTTTCCCCGATGTAGAGCAGAGTGCGTCGCTCCGGTCCGGGCCGTGACGTCACGCCGCGCCGGCCGCTGATTGGTGGATGGCGCGCCGGTTGGGGCCGGGGCCGGGGGAGGGGAGGTGCAGCGGCAGTTGTGTGGCGGCGTTCGGAAGAGAGCCGAGAGGTGGGAGCGGGGGTGCACGTGTCGCGTGTGGGCACACCGTGAGGGCAGCGTTGTTCGGCAGAGCGTCGGATACTCGAACGGAGGTGAGTCTTCCCCGGAAACATGCTAATTGCCGACTTGGTTAACTCTCTCCATTTGAGTACCGATGGATTGTAAAATCCGATCCGGGACGCGTCACGCGTTCATAATAGAACGCCTCCCTCAAACGTTTTGGATGTCAAAAACTGAAGTGTTCTGCGTAATGTGTTCTGCGTCGGGTGTAAAGGCTCCATAAAATACCTCCGATGGAATATAACTAGGTAGGTACTAATTCATACGGCACCGTCGTGTTCGTCGAAATATTTACCATGAGCTCTCCTCCCCCCCCCCCTTCCCCAAATGGCAATGCATTGTCTGCTTTGTATGATATCTTTGCAGCAATGATAACTTGGCAATTGGCAGTGTCGTTCATTGAGCGCGATTTTACATCAAGAACGTTTCGCGCTGAACACTCTGAGCCGTACCAGAAGGCACTACTACTGCTCCGCTTTTAGTAAAATGAACTCGAGATGCCTCTTGAACGGCACCGCAACCGGGCACGAGAGGCACCGAGGAATCAGGTGCCTACGGAGGGGGCTGGACAGACATGATGCATAATGACGGCCATGACTGGTTGGTTGTGCTCGTAGTGAGGCTGACGCGCTGACTAGCGGCACACTCTCTCGTGGTCGAACTCGCGACTGCCGGCTCGCAGTATGCCTGTCTGATGATCGACGCGTTCGCAGTCGGTCTCGGCAGTCGTGCCGCACTGGTGTGGTGCCGCCAAGATTCTTACAGATAGGTGCCGCGGCTCGCGGTCGTAACGCACTCAGCACTCGCTCGGTCTCGGGTCTCGGCTCGCAGTCATGGCGCACTGGCGCGGTTTTTGGACTGTGTCGGACCGTGACGATGACGCATCCCACGGCTGGCGGGGAGGGTGAGTGCTGACTCACGTAGTGCCGTGGTCGGCCGGTGATCTCCAGCCCTACCACAGGAGCTGGCTACCCAGCAGCCACTGTTTTTAGTTGGGTAGTTTTTTCCACCCCGGCGCCCAGACAGACGTGATTGGACAAGAGCGCTGAATCACGAGAACGACAGACCGCTCGAAATGAGTTCGGCCAATTCGGAGCTCCTGTATTTGTCCCATGGCACAGCCTGTGTTTAGGGCCTTGGCACAGCCATTCTCCACATGTCTGGGATGACGGTGGCACGTTAAACGCTCCATTGTAACATATGTCGTCTACCCCGCACAGTGGCAAATGAGCCGGAACACCTCGGGAAATGCAAGACAACGGAAGCCTCATTCGCGTAGATTCTGGTTACCTATAGAAATATATCCGCATACATGCCGACAGATGCAGGCATGTATAGTGTAGGTATACCCATTTGCCGTTGATTTTGGAGCAGCTGCCAACCGACGTCATGCGCCGTCGTGTCTCACTTTGGTCCGTGGTCACTCCAGAACCAGAGGTGCGCCGCCACCGCCGTGTAGTGGTCGTGGCTGGGCGCCGCTGCTCCCGCGCGGCCGGCCGCCGAGCGAGTGGGCGGCGCCCGGGGCGCTCACGCAGCGGCGGCCGTCTCGTCGCGTGCCCGGCCGGCCGGCCCTCCTCCCACCTCCTGGCGCAGCTCGGCCGCCGCGTTTCTCTCGGTCCGGGCAGCCGAGCCCGCGGCCACTGCGGAGGCGGAGGAGCGGCGGGCCGGGCCAGCTCTGGTCGGCAGCGTCTGTCCCGTTCCGCCGGCTCCGCCGGGGCCGGTGAGCGCTCACCTGACTGCCGCCCGGACGGGGTTCGTGACGGACGGTCCGGTCACCGTGGGAGCCGGGAGGGGCGGCGCGGCGCCGGATGTGGCCGCCGCCAGACGACTAACGAGCCGCTCCGCCCGGGCAGTCGCCACCTGCCCGGCTTCCGGCGCCGCAGGTGCGCCGCCCTCCTCAGATCGGTCCCCGGCGCCACACTGCAGCGACGGTAGGAAAACGGCCGGAAACAGAAAAACACCCAGCCGAAATACACAGATCAACAGCGGCGCTTTCCGTTTGAAACGTCTGACAAGGGGAGACGAGAAGGGAAACACACGCTCCTTTTTATGCCCACCATTAAACCGACACGGCACAGGCGGCGTGTGATTTGTGGAAGACGCTGGTAACCGGCCAGGTAAGGTACCCACGGACCGACCTTGTGGGCACCGATTACAGCTCGTCACTTCCATTGGGCCGGCTCATTCGCTCTTATCCCCGGGTGGTTTGAACAGAGAATAGTTTTGTTTTGAGCAGCTCATCCATTGACGGGGCCAAGGTGGTGGAGCGTCTCCTACCGTTCCTGCCAGGCTAGCCTGTCCGTCTAGTATTGGTGTCAATTTCAGAAAACGTGTGTCCAATGTCCGTCCAATGTCCAATACTTACGTCGACTGTCCGTCCAAAAATGTCCAAGCCAGCCATTTGTCCAAAGATGTCTGACACCTAAGTACTAGTTTTTATACACTCAACACTTATTCAATTTGCTTTTCAATGTACCATTACCAGCTCAAAGGTGTTAATCATATCGAAAGCAGAGCTTTCTAAATTCTAATAGCCAACCAATGTTAAACATGAGTGATTTATAAAAATGTTGAGGTGTAGCAAGCGATTGTCCAAAGATGTCCAAAGCCTGCTGTTATTGTCCAACCGAATTCAGAATTGGACATTGGACAAAATCGGAATTCCGAAGATTCAAGTTCCGATTGACACCACTACCGTCTAGTCCCAGCAGCCTGTTACTCCAGCCCGTCTCCATGGTCTGCCCCTCAAGTCCTTCCCTCCAGCCTGTCCCAGCAGTCTGTCCTACCAGTCTGTCCTACCAGTCTGTCCCACCAGTCTGCCCCTCCAGTCTGTCCCAGCAGTCTGTCCCAGCAGTCTGTCCCACCAGTCTGTCCCAGCAGTCTGCCCCACCAGTCTGCCTCACCAGTCTGTCCCACCAGTCTGCCCCACCAGTCTGACTCCGTCCCTCCAGTCTGTCCCAGCAGTCTGTCCCACCAGTCACCGGCAGCGTGCCTGCAGAGTGTTTCACCATTCAGCCACGCCCACGACCTCTGTATACCACCGCCCCCTGGGCGGGGCGGCGCCGCTACCGCGAGGTAAATTTGAATACAAATTAGGTGGCGAAACGGCGGCTGGCTGAGAACTGGCAGCCACGCTCACCGCTATTGTTTCCTGCGCCCGTCGCTAACTACTGGAAACCAGACAGCAGCTGCTGACAGACATGCAAACACGACTGCCTCGCCTGCTGACATGTGCTGACCCGTGAACTGTCTGGAGGCGGGGCTAGTACCATTCACATACCTGCAGTGCACGAGAACGCTGCTCGTGTCGGCGGTAGCACGGCGGCCCGATCCAAATGTGGAGGCCACGAGATAGCTGGCCTTTGCGAAGGTAATCAGTAATCATAGAGCTTTAAAGGGACACAATTGTTACATTCACAAACGAAAGATGCGCGATGGCAATGACAGAGCATGCGTAGTTGGATACATCGAATTGTGTATAAACCCTTTACCTCATACCTCATACCATACGCCAATACCGGATTTTCAGAAAACCTTCAACTGGGGTCACACAGGTGAAACCGATTCACTGTTGCGAATGTGAAGTGTATAGCGTGGAACATGGGCGTAACTTCGTATGTAGTTGGTATGGAGAGCTCCACACCAACTTGAAAGTTGGTGTGGATTTTCCACACCAACTTTAAGTGGTGACACTTCTCATGCACTTTTGAGTAGAAAAAACAGCAAAATATGATTCAAGGCCAGAAGAAATCAGTATGGGTTTTTCATAGTCCACAAAGGCGGATAATTGGGGGAGGGGAAGGGGTATGGAAATGCTCGAGCACCCCCTGAGCCAAAAAAATGCACCCCTCACTGGCAGAAGCACCCCAAAATCTGCAAGTCTTGAGTCTACACAAAATATTTCACATTCTAAGTTAAAGAAAAATGTCCAAAAAGCATGTCACTTTTAACCCGCGCCCCAGTGGCGGTCTCAGCCAACTTCGCCCTAGTGGGGGGGGGCATATGTTACCACCCACCTCTAACTCAAAAACTAAGAGGGATAGAAAGACGCGGTAAAAAGCAGTCGATAGCCCTCAATGCGTACGTTTGAAAGTATTTCGGTCATTTTTCACCTTTGAGCAATATTGGGGTCACCAGAGGTCATCAAAGGTCAAAATTTGCCAATTGTCATTATATTTTTCAGAAAACATGCCGCTATCTCAAAAACTATGGTAGCTAGAAAAACGCATGAAACAGCAAACGATAGCTTTTGAGCTCTTCTTTTGAAAAGGTCATTATCAATATTGACCTCAGGTCAACGGTTTAGCCTCCAGAGGGCAAAAACTCCAAAAATAGCTGTTTTTACGAAAAGTGTTTTTCGACAATAACTTTTGACTACAAAAAGCCACGGCATTTCTATTGCCAGAATCGTGTTCCCCTTGCCGAGACGCGTCGAATGAACTATAATTTGACCTTGAAAGGTCAACTTGAAAATTTGACCTCAGGTCAAGGTCATGACCTGACCGGAAAAGGTCATGTTGCATATCAGTCGATGCGTCTCAACAAGACAAACACAATGAGACCATCCCCAGCGTTCTATCTCTTTCCAATCGCGAGTTATTGGCAAAAAACTGTTTGTAGCCTCAAGTGACCTCAGATGACCTGTCTAGAGGCTATCAGCAAAAATGACACCTTGGTCATCACGAGTGGACTAAATCATTGTGATTCTGAAATATTTGGACTGTTCCCATGCGTACACACGGATCTAAAGGCATTTTCATTTTTCTCCATTGCCTTATAATGGTAAGGTCACGCCACTGACCTGACCTTAGGTCACGGATATGAAAAATCCGAGATATACAAATTGTAGGCGCCCATAACATCATGCAATCCACCAAGTTTGATACCTTTCTGACAAACACTGCAGGCTGGACATGATTGCAAACTTTTTTTTAGGCTTGGTCAATTAACTTGACCTGGTGACCTGACCTGACATGACCTGGGGTCAAAAATTTCACACATTGTCCAAAATTGATGTACAAAAAGCTACCCC